TGCACTCTAAGCCTGCCCTCTGCACCTGCACTCTAAGCCTGTCCTCTGTACCTGCACTCTAAGCCTGTCCTCTGCACCTCCACTCTAATCCTGCCCTCTGCATCCTGCACTCTAAGCCTGCTCTCTGCAGCCTCCACTCTAAGCCTGTTCTCTGCAGCCTCCACTCTAAGCCTGCCCTCTGCACCTGCACTCTAATCCTGCCCTCTGCACTTACACTCTAATCCTGCCTTCTGCACCTGCACTCTAACCCTACCCTCTGCACCTGCACTCTAATCCTGCCCTCTGCAGCCTCCACTCTAAGCCTGCCCTCTGCATCCTACATCTAGCCCAAGGACACACTCTGAGGCCTGCGGCCAGCCTAAGAACACACAGCCTATTCCAGCCTCACTCCCCTGCCTGACCTCCTCCCTGTTCATTCACCTCACTGCCACATCTCCCATGTGTCTATGGTAACTAGAAGAGGACCCAAAGCCACCCAACCTTCTGATGTACTTCATGACCTACCCCAGCCCTGCCATTGTACACTGGCCCCTGAGCACTACCTCATGCCTGACACAAATCTAGGGACTGGAGATGCCAAGACACAGGGACTCCCTATCTTACCAGGAAAAAGACATTACATGGGTGCACAGAAAGGTGGAGGGATGGTGGACAAGCAGACTCCGGTCAACATACTTGGACAGACTGGTGGTGTTCACCCAATACCACGACCCTCCTCCTCAGAGAGTCGGAACAGCCCCACTCAGCCTCTTGAGTCACCTGTGCCTGCTCGACTGCCGTTGCCCAACAGGATACAGAGGACCTGGCACCGCATCAAGGTGTGTGCTGGGGAGACAGGCGCCTTCCAGCTGCCTGAGCTTGAGCAGGCTGAGGAGCAGCGGCAGACAACGAGGCTCTGGGGCCCCCACTTCTGGAAGGTAGAGCAGAGGTTAGCAGGTGACCGCTTTCCTCACCTCCAGCCAGCCTTACCAGGAGAGAAGGGCTCMACTTCTCTTAAGTCTCTGTCTGGGATTTTCAGTCACTCCTCTTGACTAACAAAACAACCGAACGAGCCGTGGAGCAGAGGAAGGTGGAAGGACTCCATGTGGCACTGTGTTCAGGAGACTGTGGAGGGTTTGTGACGGCCTCACCTTTGAGCAGTGTCTCTGGCCTGAGGAGGGAGGCGAGCTCCCAGAGCAGGGAAACAGTTAGCACAAGTCCAGAAGGGAGCGTGCTCTGTGCCAGAGCCAGGGGCTGATGTGGCCCGCCTCCCAGCCCCGTGTCCTCTGTCTGCGGAGGCCCTGGGCCTGAGGTCCACGGCGCAGCACCTGCTCTCCGAGGCTCGGCTCCTGCTCAGCCACGTGTCCCTCACAATGCCCCCCACGTACCCTCAAGAGTGAAGCCGCTCTGTGGACTGAGCGTCCAYGTTCACTCTTGACTCAGGGCCAGCTCTGTGGGTGCCCACAGGTCTCCAGAGATGTCCCKGTCCATAGTGTTCATTTTGATTATGAGTGATCCGCCATTCTGTTCTAATTCACGGGTACGTCTCTTGYCACCTCGACTGAGGTACAGCGTCAGGACCACACTGTAAAAAGTCTTTCAAGTCCCCTTTGGCTGTGGTCTCTTCCAACCAAGGTGAGGGATAGGAGCTCTGTGGGTCCGTGGATGCACCCTCCTTCAYATCTCACAAGCTGGAACAATGGAGAGAAGCTGATGTTCCCCGTTCCTTTCTTCTGCCAGGAAGATATGAGTAGCTGAAGTATTCGGTGCTATATATAGTCCATGAGGTCAGTGGATGCCAGTCTCCTCAGAGAGGCTCAGTCCCGCTCGAGTCAGAGCTGGGGACCATGCCGTCCCAGGTTCAAGGATAAAACCCATAAGGCCCAAGCGCCATCTCCGCCATCTCCTCCACCTCCAGGTCTCGTCCAGGATCGCCCTTGCTCCCAGGCCCCGTCCAGCGTCCAGCAGCAAGGTGAGTACGTCGCTCCCCRAGGTTGCTGTCCAGGAGGCTCAGGGCAGGGTGCAGCAGCGCACTCTTGCTGAGGGGCAGCTGTGCGGGCCAGTGGTCAGGCGCTGACCCAGGGCCTGTTTGTTCTGGTGCCCTCCTCTCTCTCCCTTGCTGGGATGGACGGACCAGACGTGGGTACACTCGAAGGCCAAGGAGACAATGGTGGGTTAAAAATAACCCTGGACGGGCAGCTCTCCTACCTCACTGCTGGGGGACATGGTGTGAGTGCACAGGAAGGACTGGCCCGACACCCCTGTCACCAGATGTCACCCGACAGGGATGCACAGCCAGGTCCTCCAACAGAGAGCAGCAGGGCTCAGAACGGGCAGCTCTCGGGGAGGGCGGCTGCCTCAGTGACGCCCCACTCTGCCTACAGGGACCTGATCCATGCTGTCACACGGTGCCCTGGTGAAGCAGAGGAGGCAGCAGGCGACCGCCATCATGAGGGAAGTCCACGGAAACGGTACCGATGCGCGTCCGCGGCACTAGCAGCTCACACTAACTCTGGTGCTGGCGTCCTGGGGCTCCTGTCCCCCCTGGGCGGAGAGCTATTTTCAGATGAGCAACTGCAGGGGGCTGAGGCGAGCGAGCRGCAGCTGAGGCCCGTCCTGCTCGCTGGCTGTGGCCTGGCCCTCCTCTCCTGCTGGGACGGGCCTTGCACCAGCTGGTCTCCAGGCACATCCACCCGCGTTCTGCCCCCTTTCCCCAGGAGCTGCCGGTTCACTGGGAATTCCTGTCTGTGCGCTCGTCTGGCCCCGCAGCCAGCCTCCACGTCATACTGACTCACTAACATCCTGTGTGCGAGACCCACGAGGGCTTGTAGTTTCTGAGGAAGACAGAAAAAGTCCCCGTAGTCCCCAAACACTGAYTGGGGACACTTCTCCATAGTTAGACGGGGGTATTCCCAGTGGATTCCACCTCGTCTTGGCAGAGCCTGYGAGTGCCTCTGGCTTTGCATTTTGATCGCTGTGAAGGGAATTCGATTCTGCCCATGAGCAAAGCCAGCAGCAGTCCCAGGCTCAGCAGAGTACCCAGATCTGCAAGGGCCGAGGCGAGCCACCCTGACACGCTGTGGCACTTGGCCTGCCGGCCGTCCCACCAGGAACACGGGACGCAGCCCTTCGCCACAGCCAGCCGAGGCTGGGGCTGAGGCGCAGGGGCACTGGTGACCGTGAGCGGCGTCCTCCTTGGCACCTACCATGACCTGGGACTCTCAGGTGGCCCCCCTCCTCGCCGTGTCCTCCCTGAGTCAAGGTGGCACTAGTGCCCTGGGCCAGCCTGTGTGGCTGTGTTGCGTGACCCCCAGCAAGCGTCCTCCTGCTCCCATGCGGCCTGGTGACAGCTGAGGTCCTGGGGTCTAGCGGGTTTTCTGTCTTCTGTGATGTAAAACCGCCATCACTGTCCTGGACTGAAGTTTGTCCTCGTGTTTTACTATGATATTGAGTTAGAGTAGAATAAAAGGAGAATAATTCTGAACAAGCTACCAGAACCGAATTGGTACTAATACAAAATTCCAAAATCCAGGCTTCTTTAAATTGTATCTCTGTGCTTCCTGCTTCAGGTTGTTTATTTGAAATTGTTCATACAGTTTTTCTGGTCAAAAAGGCAAAACTCAGACCATGGCTGGAGTCTGAGACAAATTGCTCACCTGGAAACTGGACTGTGGATAACTTGTTTCATTATTGCCTGGAAGTCCTGCCTAAATCAGCCCCTCTGCTGCGCTCTCATTCCAAACCTGGGTTCTCCTGCCCGCTCAGGCTCAGGCTCAGGCCTTTTTGCTTCTTTACAATGTAACTATTGTTCCCGGGAAATGTAAAGGGGAAACACTATCATGCCCTAGAGGAAGAGCCCTCAAACCACTGCTCCGCCAAGGGGACCCTGCCACGCACGACCCTCCCGTTGCAGGTGAGYGCCAGTCCCCTTACGAGTGGCCGCAAGCGCTCAGATGGTGTGGGGTGACCAGGGCTGTCGCCTGAGGAAACCCTCCCACCCCCTTTCCTCCGCGGCTCGCGGCTCTTGTGGGACATCGAGGCAGGCCCTCCTGGCGGCTCCCTTTCCTCGAGGCTCTCGAGGGACGTCACAGCGGCTGCCTCTGGAGGTGGCAGTGCTCTCCCTCTGAGGATGGAGAAGGGACACGTGAGCATCCTGAGGACTACGCCCTGAAGCCTCCAGAGACACGCAGGCAGCCCTCTGCGTGATCTCAGATAAAATGTGCAACCGTTTTGATCTTGATATGAAACAAAATGAGCCCAGTTGGACGGACCATCCTCCGCGAAAATGACAGGAGCGGGGTGTTTCCAGTCCCCTCCCCTCCCCTGTGCAGCAGGGTGTCGTTTTCGATATTTTAAGTCGTTTTGCATTATTGTCACACGCCAGAGACACTCAGCCCCAGGAGGAGGACGAGCAGTAGCCATGGGCCAGCAAAGCCAGGGCCTCTAGACACTAGAGGCGAACTCCACGAGGGCCTSGTGGGGAGAGGCCAGAGCGGGAGGGGGGAGCAGCCTCAGGGCCTGCCGAAGCCGGTGCGAGTGCAGGGTGCAGGAGGGCTGCTGAAAGGTGGACGGCTCCCCTCCACCATGACTGCACCAAGTCCAGCACGGTCCCCTCTGAGCTGGGGTCAGATTGTGTACCTGGAGCAAATATGCCACACGCCCACAACCAGGGCTCTCAGGTGGCCCCTCCTCCTCATCGTGTCCTTGCTGTGTCTAAGGATGGCCACTGCCAGGATCCCCAAGGTGGCACTAGTGCTCGGGCCAGGCTGTGTGGCAGTGTTGCATGACAGATCCACAGAAGCCCCTGCACTTTTGCAAAGTCTTCTCAGCCACAGCTGCTGGCATCTGGCAGGTGCTACCGCGGGAGACAGGAACACAAGAAGCATCTAGCCATTCTGCACAGGGGTCAGTGGTGGATGCCGGAGCCCAACCTATCACCTGGAGTCCACGCCTAATTCCCAGGACCAGCCAAGGTCCTCCCCTCATTTCAACCTGAACACTGAAAGCAGAGGGGAGCGGGGAAGATAAAGGACAGGAGGCATGGCCTGACAGGAACGGACGGCACAGTGGGCAGAGGCAGGACGGACCTGGCAGCAGCTGGTGACGCGGATGGGAAGGAGTCGACCTACAGGCCCGGGTGAGGCTGCAGCAGGCTGCCTGAGTGCAGCCCGGGCTGCCTGGCAGCTCAGCGGGCGTCAGAGGCAGGAGGGCAGAGCTGGGCCTGCAGGCGCCCCACAGGGTCCCCGCCCGCCCTGTGGGTGTTTTCCTCCTCACTGGCAGCAGCTTTCCCGGCAGACAGACAAGAACTGGGCAGATTATTTTGGTAATTTCAGGAAGAGAGTTTGCTCTGTGGTCTGAAAACAGGAAGCCCTGTTCTAAATGCAGCGCTGCTGTGGACATGGGACCCAGGCTGGCTGCCCACCAGCCTCCCACTCCCCAGGGGAAGGTGGCCAGGAGAGCTCCCCTGAGCTCCACCCTCCCAGATCCCGRCTCCTGAGTGGCTTGGCAGTCAGGCCTCAGACACCTCTCCACCATGCAAGGAGCCCGCAGTGTTGACCCAGGGCCCAGGGCCCTTTGGAAAATGGAGTCCAGGCTCAGGCTTCTGAAGAAAGACCCCCAGCAGCCTTTGTCTGCACGAGTGTCTTGGGAGAGTGAATCACACCAGGACGGCCTCACCTACCTGGGGTCAAAGGTGAAACGCTGGAGGGACAGAAGAGGGGTCTTCCTTTGTGGGGTTGACCTTTCCACATCAGCCTTCGCATAAAACCAAGAGCAGCCAGAGCCGGCAGCACACCGGGTATGGAGCCTGGCCAACGGTCACACCTGGTGGACTCAGGCTTCCCGAGCATCGGCCTTGACAGGGCACCCAGGACTGGTCCCAGAGGACCGGCCCAATCTGCYTTACAACAAAGCCCAAACTGCAGAGCCTCGTCCCAGCTGTTGTCTCTGGTCTTTGTCGGGTCTAATATCCTTCTGATATAGTTCTCTCTGGTTCCGTTTGGATTCTGTCACAGTAGCTGATGGTTCTGTCTGTGTMATTCCACACATTGGTGACTCATTTCTTAAACGCTTAGGGGTTTATGCAGCACTAGTGTTTTCATTAATGGCAAATTTCCAAAGATTTTGTAAAATAGTCTGAAAAGTCAAATTAAGACAAAGATACATGAAATAGGAAAATRAAAAATCCAGGTGGGTTCTTAAATCTTTTTATCTAGAAAAAAATYATCAGTGAATTTTATCAATTAGAACCTTATCAGGCCTTATTCAGAACCGTAGTCTGGACTGTGATTTTAATGGTATATATATTATACACTATGTTGCATTATGCACAATATATCTTTTCTTTCTTTCCTCTTCCTCCTTCCATCCTTCCTGCCTGCCTTCTTTCTTTCTTTCTTTCTTGTACCGGGGATTGAACTCAGGAGCATTAACCACTGAGCCACATTGCCAGTCCTTTTTATATTTTTATTTTGATACAGAGTCTCACTAAGTTGCTTAGGTCCTGGTAAAGTGGCTGAGGCTGGCTTTGAACTTGTGATCCTCCTGCCTCAGCCTCCTGAGTTGCTGAGATTACTAGTGTGGCAACTGCGTCCAGCTGTATATCTACCCGTCTTCCTGTGGACATATGAAAGTGTGCTACACAAGCACAGGCCGGATCTCTGTGCCTCCATCAGGCCTCTGAATTAAGTCAGCATGCCCACAACTCAGCCGCCTGCCAGGGCTCACCTCTTCTTTCCAACGTCAGGACTGCTGAAGCCAGGCATCCATGGGGGGCTGTTTGAAAGGTCTTTTGTCCTCCAGATAACTGCAGGYGGACGTCAGTGTCAAGTGCAGATTGGGTCCACTGACCGACCTCAGTCTGACCACTGTGGCTGACATCAGCAGTGAAGCATGCTTGAMCATATTATTCTCAATAGATGACCTAATGTCACAAACACAACCTGAAAGGCACGAGGCAGCATGAGTAGCCGGGGTTGGAGCTGTGACTGACCAAGCAAAGATGAACACGCCTTCAAACGCCACACAGGGCGTCCATTTATGGGCAGAGGAGGGCAGAACGTGGAATCTCTGTGCTCAGGGGCAGCATGCCATACAGGAAGACTCAGAAACCA